GGGGCCGCTGCAGCCCGCGCGCAGCCTCCTCCTGCAGGTACGGGCCCCGTACCTGGGCCGGGACCRCGCCGCCCGCTGCACAGCCATGAGCCTTCTCCTTCCGCAGGAGGAGGGYGGCAAGGGCGCCGCGGGGAGGAAGAGGAAGGTGAAGGTGAGGAAGAAGGGCTCCGGGCTGGCCAGGGGCTCTGCGGAGGAGACGGAGGGCCCTGGAGCAGGGGCTGGARCCGGGCTGCTGCCCACCAACAGAGTCGGGCAGGAGGAGCCGGTGCCYGCGGGCACGGCTGCCCCCCAGGCAGGTAAGGAGCCCTAGGGCTGCCCGCAGCCCCCTGGAGCTGCAGCCCCCGCTTGCCCTCCCCTCGGCTTTGCTCATGGAGCAGCCATAGCCTGGAGCAGGGACCCGCCGGAGCGAGCGCGAGAGGAAGGGGGTCCTCCAACGCTGTGGCAGGTGACGGAGGACTCTGCTCCCACGAGCATCCGTCCTCGCGCTGGTTCGGTGCCAAATGTGGCCTTGGCAATTGCGGTGCCTGACCTTGGCTGCTCCTCCTGCAGGGCAGGGCATGAGAAAGAAAAAGAAGAAGAAAACCAAGAATAAAATCAAGTCTCAGGAGCCTGCGCTGGAGCAGCGGCACGAGGCCGTCTCCAGCACCTTCGGTATTTCCCGGGATGGGTTTTGCTGAGAAGGGTGTCTGAGGGGTCAGGCTCACTTGCAGTGGGGCACAAGCTGCTCGGGAGCCCATAGCTGTACGGGTGGTAGCACCAGGGCAGGTGCCCCTAGACGTGGGCTCAAAGGGTGCTCAGGGCAGGGTGCTGGGTGCTGGTGCAGTCCGGTGTTTTGAGGGGTGGGATGTGTCCTGGGCTGCAGGGGTAGGAGCTTGGCTGGGATGCTGGAGCATCTGACCCTCTGCCTTCCTCTCCGCAGACCTGTACCGCCGGGCCATGCTGGCTCTGAAGATGAGGCAGGAGCAGAGGAAGCAGCCGGCTRCCATCGCCCCCTGAGCGGCGCCCTGCGCACGGTGCTGCCCACCTCGGGGAGCACCACGGGGTCTCTGCAGACAAAGCTGCTGGTCCCTGGGGACAGGCGGCCCCAGAGCAGGCAGGTCCTGGGGAGACAGCAGTCTGTGTCACAGCGCTGGGGGGCCCCACTGCTGCTGCAGAGCGTGGGAGGGCTCGCCCAGGGCTGGCCTCCCTGGAAGACGGACAGTGAATGCCAGCAGTGCTCCCTGCGTGACATCAAAATGGGGGATCTGAAGGAGTGAGCCAAAGAAACCCTCCATAAAAAGCTCCTCCAACTGCTTGGCTGCAAAAACTTCTGGAAAAGAAACAACAGCCRCTTCTCCCAGTCCATGTTCTTCATAAGCCTCAGGCGGAACCCGATTGTGTCTGCAGGAGAGAGCAAGATAAGCTCAAACGTGCCAGGGCAAAAGCCCATGCCTGGTACGAATCAATGTACGGCCAAGCAAGGCTGGGACTAGGGCTTCCCTGGCTGCTGGTTCATCCTCATCTGCTGCAGTGTGACTCGTTACTCCCACTGGTGGGACTGGGAGCTGGTGACGATGCCTGAAGAGCTTTGCTCAACTCTTGACTACATCAAATGAGGCCATGCCAAGAGTCTTCTTGCCTGGCACGGGATGGCAGTATCTCCGTGTCCTGGTGCAGATGGAGGCTGGCCAGGCAGACTTTCTTTTCTCCCCCTGGGTGAACTGGAAGCAACTGGCCATGGAGGCTGCTGGAGGCTCCTCCCCAGAGGGTCCTGCCATCTGCTCAGCAGTGACTTCATGGTTAATGCAGCATCTTCCCCACAGCCAATGACCTGTCATTCCCCAATCCAGCGTGTTATGTGGCCTCAGGTTGGGTCTGCAAAGGGAGACTGAGCTGGTGCCAAGCGCTGCACCCCAACCCACGTGTGATACGTGTCCTTGTGCTTACTGAGGCAAGGTCTTCCCAGGCCACTGGGGGAAAACTGAGACTGTGAGGGGCTGGTGGAGGCCAGACTCCCTTMCCTGAGTCTGGCTAGAAAAGAGGAGGGAGAGAAACTCCTGCTCTTGTGCTAGCCTGCGCCAAAGCTTGGTCTGACTGCGTGCCACTCACTGGCTGCAGTGAGCCACTATAAATAACAAGATCAACAAAACAATACCAGACAGAACTACAGCAGTGTGCAGCGAGCTCTTTTCCCTGTCTGGGGTGGCTCTGGGCGAGCAGCAGAGCCCCTTCTCCCGTTGCAGCGGCGCTGCCCCGTGCACGCGCTGCAAGGGGACGTGTCCTGCAAGCGCTTGCTCGCAGCGAGGGGAGCTGCAAGCAGAGCAGCTGGGAGGGAAGCTGCACGGCGCCTTTCGGAGCAGGCAAGCTGCTCTCAATGCCCTCCCTGTTGCTAAACTGAAAGCAGGAGCAGAGCCACCTCCACAGGCAGTTTTGAGCAAGTGGTGAATGGGATTGTCCCCTCTCCTGGTCTCTTTTKGCTTGCCCACTGGGTCTGGGGTGAGGGCGAATCCTCGCCAGGACCCAAGGAGAGTGCAAAGGTTGAGGGTTGATGGCCAAGCGGTGCCGCGTGGCCTGAGCCAGGACTGGGCAGGCTTGGAGCGTGGCCTGAGCTGGGACTGGGCAGGCTTGGTGCTGTGCAGGCCAGGAGGTGCTCCCTCTGGTGCTGCCCGTGCTCCTCGCAAGGGCGGCTCCTCGCAGGGCAGCGGGATGCACCCACCGGCTCCTCAGGCGGCCCCACTCATAACTTCCAGGAAAAAGTCAGCAGACAAGGTTTTCCCCCATTTGTTTGCCTTGCCTACATGAAGATGGTCYTGAAGGGATTTTCTTCTTCAGATAAAGTCCTCTCACAGTGCCATGCGTAGTACATAAAACAACGACTTAAAACCAGTGGAAAAAAAACCTGAAGGGAAAACGGGCAAGGCCAGCTTTCCTGGGCAGCTGAATAAGACTTTCTCTTCCAGCTGTAAGAAACCTGTTTTGCATATAATACCAGCAGCTCTTCCTAACGTGATGATCTCAAGCAGAGTGACGACAGCCCGTTCAAATAGATTTCAAAATCAAAGCCCTTTGCTCCAGTGTTGCAGTTGCCACAGAGCAGTTAATCTCTACTACAAACCAGGGCACAGGCACACTGGTTTATGCCACTGGAGGATCTGGGTTTTATTTATTTTTTTTTTCAGAAAGTTTAGGTTAAAAAATGCAAGGTCTTCAGCAAGGTCTGGAACATCCCCGAAATGTGTGACCTTGAAGACCCCTTTGACCAGTGACCCTTCAGACAAAGTGGATGACATTAGTTAATGGTGCCAGCAGATAAGAGGGTGGGAAGCAGCTGCTTTGAGAAGCAGGTGTCTTCCCAAGKGCTGATTGCTGGTGGTGCCAGCAGGAAGGCAGGAAAGGTTGTGGTCGATGTAGGGATGTCCTGCATAAGCCTCAGCTGGATAGAGATTAGAACTGACCTGGAGGATTAAGCATCTGCATGACGTAAATAGGGGTCTCACCTGAGAGGAGACCTCTGCCTTTTGGGGCACTTCTAATTTTACCACTTGATGGTCAACTGAGCGGCGAGGGAAGGGCTGGGCCGGAGGGTGGACCCTGGTGCTGCTGCAATGGGAAGACGTGTGACTTTGCCCACTTCTCTGGCATCTCCTGCTGCATTGAGGACGTGTCSGAACCCAGCACTTCTGCTTGCTGCAGGCAGCCTCCCCCAAAATAAGGTGGTGGTGACTGACAACCTCCTACAAAACCGTGKTTTTTTGGAAAGTGCTAGTCGATGGAGCCGAAAGCACACTGAGCCCCAAACCTCCCTCTTTGTCCTGCCTACGAAAAGGCAAAACCTGGCATTTGTTCCCAGGAGGGTTTTCATGGAGCTCTCAGCCTTGCTGTGGCTTTGAGGAGCTCCAAAGCAGCTCCTGTGGGGTTAGCTGCCTTTGAGACCCCTCTGAATATGGCAAAGGTGCCACGAGAGTGCTAGAAAAACAGTGCTGGTGCCTGCTTTTATTCTCGGGACGTGCTGAGAGCCGGTCAGAGCGCAGGTGCTCCCAGCCACCTGCAGCCTGTGTACGTGCATGGTCTGTATCTGCGGAAATCTGCAGATCGAGCGGAGTGGGGTTAGTGCATTCAAACCTAGAACGGATTATCACATCAATACAGGCCCAAAGCGGAAGCTTTCAGAGCTCGAGAAGTTGCTTGTTGTACAAACTTTCTCACACTTCAAGTTCCTGCCCTCTGAGCTGCCGTTCGGGCCGGGCGCCAACACGCCGTTTTGGCAGTTTCTAGCCCGGTTACAGTACGGAAGGGTTGGGAAATGCTTTTTTTCTTCTTCTTCTGTTTCTGCTGCTGCTTCTCAATGAGCACACTATGGCAGGGCCGGTTTCCATGAGCTCATTCCGAAGACAGAGAGGAGAAACGTCAGCAAACAACATTGGGCAGCCCAGCTTTGCACGCCCCGGCAGGCTCTTTGCTTGGCGCGTATGTGCGTGCGCCGAATAACGCGCAGCCCTGCATGGCAGCTCTCCAGAACTGGGTTTAATGGGCCTAGATTGCCCGTTGCATTACATTAAAAATGAGAGCTAAACTGTTTGCTCTCATATGGTGTACGAAAATTGCTGGGAAAAAGAATGTCTTAATTAGGTGAAAGTAACTCCCTAAGCGTCTCTTGATTGTTATGAAAGAGGCTATTAAGACCTTGCAGGGAAAGAGCAGATAACAAGGACTGGAAATTTGGAAAACACAAAACTTTCCCCTTCTAATGAGCCTTGTTAGAGGCATTAGCCCTGGCAGAAGGAGAACAGATATAATCAAATTTATTTAATTGCTAGAAGGTGCTAGAGATGAGGTAGAGATGAACTGTCACATCATACATCAAATATACTCCCAATTTCTTTTCCTCATATAAAAAGCTTGGGTTTTTTTTTTTTTTTTTTTTTGTGCATATTTTTTAAAAGGGGAAATTCTCACAACTAAATTGGTAGTATCTGTCTCTTCTGTAAATTATCACCTTGTAAGTCACTGCATATTTGAAGAGGTTATTTTAGACTGTAAGAGGAAAGGGCCTATCAGTGCCTTAATTAGAGGGGATTTTCCTTCAAAATATTGTTGAATAGGGGGATCAGGAGCCAATTCGTTAATCAAAAGTTTTCACTTTCAAGTCTTCTACAGCARTCAGAGAACTTTCACCCCACTGAACCGCGTGGGTATCTTGGCACAGCTGCCTTTAGCACAAATCCTGACCCAAGGGCTGCATCTTCTTGCTCTGCTCCCCAGGTTTCCCCTGTTCCCCTAATCCCACGTTCGGGTTGGACTCCACAACCCATGYTCTGCGCGTGGCACGGCCAATGCTGCAGCTCCAGGGTGGCCTTTTGTGGGTGTATGGTTTGTGGGCAGTATGGGGTATCCTTTTCTCTGCTTTTTGGGTTCTTTCTGTGTTCCTAGGTTGCAAGGCACAGCCTCAACAAGCTCCCCGAGACCCAGCAGCCTGACCAGACCTGGTGGAGAGCTGCCTTTGCCAGGCAGGTGGGCACAGGGGATGAAACCCATGCTCTACCTCAGGAACGGGAGCTGCGACAGCCGTGGTGGCACCGGGGACAACCTCAGTCACAAAGAGCCATTGGCTTCATATAGCTTCAGATATAATAAAGTACTGCCTTAGCGCACTGCAAGGCAACTCCACATTGTCCCGAAGACAACATCCATTCTTCCACTGGCCGCACGATGGCAGAAGAAGCAAAGAGCAGGGCAAAGTTGAATGTGAAAATAGCAGCGATCATCAGCGCGTTGCTCGAGGGCTAACCGGGAAGCAGGATTTTTTCTATTGCTAGGCTATCTGCATCTCCCTGAGCAACAGGAAACCCTAAACCCATTAGGGGCTGTTTTTCAACATTGCTGTTGCTGTGAAAATTTTAAAAAGAAAAAAAAAAAAAAAGAAGGAAAAACTATTTTTGTTGCATGGGACGTGTACTGCATTTTGTACAGCTTGCAAATCATTCCACCCATTACATTAAAATGCATTAAAACAGTCC